ACTCGGCAATAGCGAGCGCCAACAACGCCTCTCTGGCAAGCGTGGCCTTGAATTATGCCCTGCGCACCGTCACCGAACTGGCGTTGGACCTGGCTGCGAAGCAGTGGCCTGGATGTTGACACCAAGATCGCAAAAGCGCTCTTGGATCGCCTCTAGCATCCAGCAGCGAAGTATTCACAATAATAAATTTTGAGTGGCACCGTTACAGAACTGATCTGTGATGCCTGGAGCAAATCGGCAGAGGGCGCTATGCCTGCGCGATCTCCGCCGTTGACTCTTGCGTCACAGCTCTGGAGAACTCTGGAGGGGTTCCGGCCGACATATTCTGCGCTTGCCTCACAGCCAGCAGCGGGCTTGTAAGCACTGGATGGTAGATAATGACGGCGCCGCAGTACTAGCACAGTTCAGTGGGACGGAGGTCCACAATGAGTGCTCGCCAGGTGCGACCAAGAAACTGACCATCGACGACGTCAGCAGGCCCGGCCACCGGGCTCCGAACCAATGCGGTATCGGCCAGACGGCTGCGCTACTCTTCGTGGATGTGGCGAAGGGAGCGTCCAACGAGTTGGCTCGAGAAGAAGCGCTCCAAGATTCCGTCCGCCTGCTAGACCTTGAAATTCGTGGATGCTGGTCAAGGAACACCTTGAAGCGCGCCATTCGCTCTGATTGAGTTCCTGCTGCCTTTTGACCCAGACGTCCCTCATTTGAGGAGGCCTGGGCAGCACCTGGCACGCGGGGTTGTGGCTGGCTGGAGGGTACGGGCCAATCCCAAGATCCACCACTGCATTTGCCAGTAGGATGGTGGAGAGGGCATCGTTGCAGCAAGGAAGCTGCATGTTTTTGTGTCCTGCTTGTCTTAGTGAGCTGCAGATGCCCAGCACAGCCAGTAAACTCACCAGCCGTCGTCCGGCCACAATCACTGATCCGCGCCCGAGCCCGACTAGCCATCAGGCAAGAAGACGAGTTGGCCGGACTCCGCTCCAAGATGGGCTTCATGCTTCATCTCCCACTTCGACAGAGCTGTCCTTCAGACTTGGAACCAAATGAAGCAAACCAAGCCCCAATCCCTGAACATCTGCGCTGCGCCCTCTTTCTGACTCTGGAAGGAGTTGAAGGTCCCAAGGTTTTGGCAAGGTATCTTAAGGATACTAATGGTTGGGAAACCTTC